CCCTTCTTTACTCTCAGCAACGAAGTATGTGAGAAACACTGGTGGGAGGTTTCCTGGGAGACAGCAGGCAAAGAGCGACGGACAGATGCATTTGCTGGCAAACACTCGTGGAGGTGAATCCCCAGTGCTCACACCCTCAGGATCTCCTCTTCCTTGTTCCTTAAGAGCCAAAGCCTGCCTTCCTTCCTTCCATCCTTCCTCCCTTCGTCCCTCCCTTCCTTCCTTCCTTCCCTTCCCCTTCCCCCGCGCCCCAGTCCTGGTCCTCCCGACACTCCATTTCCCCCTGATGTCTAACTTTTCCCTTCCTCCTTTCTTTCCCTGTTCCAGGACGCTCTGGGAACAGTGCAGCAGCAGGTCCCCGCAGGGCAGAGCAGCTGGGAGGAAGGGCTGGGCCAGGCGGCCACAGGCACCTGGCAACCTCTGCCAGAGAAACCCTTCAACATGACACACGTGCGTTGCCCGGGGTTAATTCTAGATCGATTAATCGTTTCTGGAAGGCAGTGGGGGAATGCTTTTGTGTCCAAATGTGTGGGAGGGGACTTTTTGCAAGGGCCTGTAGTGACAGAACAAGGGGTAATGGGTTTAAATTGAAAGTGGGGAGGTTTAGATCAAATATCAGGAAGAAGTTCTTCCCAGAGAGGGTGGTGAGGCACTGGAACAGGTTGCCCAGAGAAGCTGTGGATGCCCCATCCCTGGCAGTGTTCAAGGCCAGGCTGGATGAGGCTTTGAGCAACCTGGTCTAGTGGAAGGTGTCCCTGCCCATGGCAGGGGGGTTGGAACTAGATGGGCTTTACGGTCCCTTCCAACCCAAACCATTCTGTGGTTCTATGAAATGAGGGCTATGGCTATCAGGATACCTGAGCTAGCCATAGGGCAATGGCGGATGAAGAGAGAGGGTGCACAGGAGACCCCTTGTCCCACTGGAGCAGTTCCTGGGGGGCAGGGAAGATACCTGAGGGTGCCTAACAGCACCCACGTGTCGACATTGTGGGAGGAGTTGTAGGATAACCAGCTGAGCAAAAAATGATACCTGGCCATCAAGATCCACTCTTCAGAAAAACCATCTTCGGCCAAGAAAGCAGACAGGAAACAGGCAAGGACACGGGCAGCCCCGCTTTCATAAAGCGTTTATCGTTTTTATTTGAAAACATTACGCAGGCATTACATGGCCACAGCCAGTCCATGGAGGTGCATGCAAAGATCAGAATGGAGAAAGGTTTGTTCGGCTTTTCAATGCAGGGTTTGGGGGTGGGGGGTGGGGTTGGGATTTTGTTTGCCTGGTTTCGGTTCGCATTTCCATCTGCGGTGTCAAGATTAGTGTGCTTCATTATGGCATTTAACAGTAAAATCCTACCCATGGGGTAAAATCTGTAGTTGTAGCTAGCGCAGGAATACTACGTGGGTTTGTTTTGTTTTTTTTTTTAAAAAAAAGAAAGGAAAGAAAACGATACTACACGCTTGTCAAAATGTTAACAGCACACATTAGCGATCTCTACACTAGACACTGAACTGCTTCTTAGGACACAGCGGTGCAAAATTTTCAGTTGCTTGGTCTACCCTCGCGCGTTGTGAAAGTTTGCAGCCGGCAGAACGAGAAGGCCTGTCTCCCAGCGAAGGGTGTTTGCCCGGTAGCAGAGAAGTGCGTCAGCATTGCCGAAGGGCTGCTCAGGCCCGGCGGCCTAACAGCGATTCAGTCTGTTCAGGCAGGGAGCTACGCAGAGCTGGAGGCGTCCCACGTGCCGCAGAGAGTAGCTGCCGGTCGGGTAGCTGAACCTTTGCTGGTGCGTACTGAGGCCTCGAACCGCAGAAAACGAGCAGGTACAAGTCGTGTTTTCCTTGAGTGGCCCTCAGTTTTTCAGTCAACAGAGTTCCTCGCAAAGCCGTACCACTGTTTCCCTTTGAGGTCCACCCAGCGCTAGCGCGCTCATCCAAGTATCCGCCTCGCTCAGCGGGAGATGCAGACAGTGAAGCGGCCCCGCTCTTGCACCCCCAGCTCCTCCCGTGAGAGTACCACAGGGGACGGCGGCTGGGCGCCGCGGGCACGCCGAAACGTCCGTCACTTACCTCCGCACAACGCCGCCTCTTAAAGTGGCCTGCAAAAACCGCTTCGGGCGGCACCCCTCGGCCACCCCTGGATCGCAAAGCCGTGGACATAAAAACTCCCGGCCCAGTGACCCGGCCGGGAGACACCTCCTGCCCAGCTCTTTCTGAGAAGACTCCTACAAACATCTACAAGTTAGTGTCAGGAAAATGAGGAGAGGGAGGTGGAAGGACTACAGACATTTGGCTTAAAAATAAATACTAATAATGCAATTAACCAAAACGATTACGCAAAAGGAAGGGATTGTAAACGTGAAGCAAACACGCACGCACGCACTCCTCAAAGGTCTCAAGACCAACACGGGGACTGATGTTTAGAGAAAGGTATTTAATTGGTATCAAAGGTAGCAAAAGAGACTGAGATGACAGGTGCCCACCAGCGTGCCTCCGGGTACCGGAGGGAGCCGCGGGGGTTGTAGCCAGAGGCCCTGCTCCTGGGGAAGGCACGCAACCCACCTCGAGTCAAAGCCTGCCCAGGGCATGACCCGAGGATGCTTGCTGGGCCTGAGGGCTTCACGCCGCCACGTGCTTCCCACCTGGACTTCCACCCCTAGACGTTATGCTGAAGGATCAGGTAAGCTTTCCTGTGTGTGTGGGTTTTTTATTTTCTTTGAATCCTGCAGTATTTAGACTTTCCTTAATATCCCCACAATATGGACACCGTTTCTCTGTGGGAATTTTTTTTTTTAATCCTCAATAGTTTAAGCGAAAAAAGCTTGGAAACCATGGGTGCTAAAAATAATAAATAAACAGAAGGCAGGGAAAAAGATCATACTTTTTTTTTATGAGTTTAAACCCAATCCATCTTAACTGGAGCTTTTGGGCACGGGTTTGGCAGTACTGCAGACCCTTTTGTGGTCTGTGGCAGACAGCCTGGACACGGCGGGACAGAAATGACCTCTCCTCCTCCTCCAGAGCAAGACTAACGTGCAGCATACTTCTGCTGCTCAGCAGCATTCCAGCGTTTGCCGCTTGATGCGCACAATCTTCTCCCAGTCCGCTTCAGGGAAGGCCCTTCCGTATTAAAGCAGAACGAGACTATAAAAGATGAACGTTGCCTCAGCAGAAATTCACCCTGCTCGGTTGAACTGCATGGCCTTTCTGATCTCCAGAGCACAGATTGATTTTATTTTTTCTTTTTTTAAACAGAAATAGGTAAGCTGTATCTTTCAAACATGAAGCCCTACGTTCTCGCTCGAGACAGACTTCTTCAGCAGAAAACGTTCACATCAAATTAATCTTCGATGCCCACAAGCAAAATATTCACCGACCCTGCCGTAAACCTCATTTTCAAACCCAACCAATGTGTACACACTTTCACAGCACTACCCTGTACTTCTTAAACTCCTTCCTTCCGAAGATCCCAAAGCATTTTAAAATAGGTTGGTCCCCTAGCACCCCTGTGAGGTAGGTAAAGTCTCATTATTCTCATACAGATAGATTGGGACACCCAGCCACACAGAAGGTAAGTCATGGCCAAGATCATGCAGAGGCGTGGCAGGTCTGTGAATAAAACCAAGCTCTCCTGGGTCCCTCTCCTGCCTGTTAGACGTAAGATCACCTCTCCTGCCTCGATTTTAAATTAAAAACAGGTGATGGATGTTGAAATAGTCAGTTCCTTTTATTGGGCCCTCAGAAGAGCAAATATCCAGGCAGAGATGGATTTTTCATGGTGGTGACTAAGACCTCCCCCCTTCTGATAAGGTTCCTGGAGCAGAAGTGCGGTTGTGGAGCACACCCTTGCTATTGTCCCATATTCCCCCAAGAAAACTGCTGAATTCTGCTAGTTTCGTAGTTAATGACAAGTAACTGGCTGCACGCTGCCGGTATGAACGCCTTCGCGCTACCGCAGCAACACCAGCAGGTGGTCCAGTCTTCCTGCTCACGAATTCCTCACTTGATCTTCCCGATTTTAACAATTTGTGGGTTTTGGTGGAAAACGGACACATTTCTTCATAGCTTTTGTTAGAATAATGAACCACGGGAGACTAAGCAAACTGGAACAGCAGAAGGCGCCCTCGATGCACTGAGTATCTAAAGGAAGTGCCCTGATCCACATGCTGTGTCATCTTACCACAGGGAGGTACAATACACAGGAAACTAGAAAATGCGTTTTTCTTTTTACAGATTAAAATTTAAAAAGTAAGAAATCTGTGTTAGTCATGACTACAGAGAAAAGAACTCCCCCGTCACCTGATGTGGAACCTCAGCCACTAGGAAATCTGTCATGGATCACAGAGAGGTCAATGCTCACTTCTGCAAATATAGAAAGGCTAAAACGCACGCCTTAGACCTATTCCTAGAATAGAGACGGATATTGGAAGTTGTCCCTCCTCTGGATTCATGGAACAGATTACCTAGAAAGGGCAACCAGCCACGTGGCACAGATGACTTCAGTGTTTTTCCCTCACCGAATCCACCGAATCCAAGGTGCTAGCAAAACCGTGTCACGAGCAACCCATCCATTTCGTGCAAACCAACCAATCTGGGAGAGAAAATAACAGCGACTGCACAAGAGTATTTGCTGTAAAAAGGCGGCTTTTCCACAACTGGTGTGGCTTAGGCATCATATCGCAAAAAACACCCTTCTGTGAATTGCCTTCTGTAATTTCAGCTTATATACTGAGTATCTTTCACAGGTCGTTTGACATTAACTGATTGACAGGCAGCAGTCTGCACTGCAAACATGCCGCTCATGTCGTAAACGAGGGACTGGCATCTCCTTGCAATGAACACCCCGGAACAATTAATTTGTATTTTTAATGAACTTTCCTTATTTGCTACCTTGCAGCTCACTGGTGTAACTGCACCTGGTAAATACCTTTCTCTATGTACAATACAGAGATAATGGACATACGAGCTCCACTGAATCATCAGGAGGTGATCAACAGCCCCAGGGTTTAAGCAACTCTAACATGAGGCTCCTCTTCCGTCTCCTGCCCCAGGCTGGTGTAGGTGACCGAAGGCTCCAGCTGGCCGGTGGCTGGCAGGTCTACAACAGGTCCTGAAGGATTTCGAAACTGCTTGTACACCCGAGGATCCTGGGCTACGTAGGTGGACGTGGAGGAGTAGAGCACCAGCCCAACAAGGATAGTGAAGAATGACAACAAGTAAAGTCCTGAAAACTAAGCAGATACAAGAGTAGAGTCGTTAGACACAGCACCAGTTATCCTGAGCTCACAAAGACTCGCAGACAGGGGTAGGCACAGATCCTTGTCTTGGCACGCGCCACACGGAACAAGCCTGGGATGTCGACTTTTTATGGGAAATGTCTCTTTGAAAGTTGACTCGTTCCCATCAATTCCCCTGTCTTCCATAACCAGCAGCTAAGCAGCGCCCTCCCCTGGCCCAGGGGTATATTAAATATTGCTCAGGAGGGACTTGGGAAAGCTGGGTTGTGTCACAGATCCAAAGTTGATTTTGATGTGCTTTTAGAAAAGCCAACTACTTCTCTGGGTCCCATTTTCTCTAGCTCCGGTGTGGGGTACCATCACCTACAGTTGTCTGACAGGTAGTGGACAAATCTGAAGTTAACTGCAGCTAAACCACATGCCTGTGAAGTATAACATGCTGCTGGCAACATAAAATACCATTACATAAACATTTAAATGGGCATTTAAAACATATACACTTAAAAAAATATATATATTTTAATAAAGGCACTTAAAAAGCCCACCTGCAGCTTCTCCTGCTCGTGGACAGAAACCAGGTGCTGGAAGATCTAATGTGAGTTTGGACAGGATGGGCTTCAGCTGTGAAACATGCTCTGGGTTGACCTCAAGAGGTTTGAAAGTACGAATGGAGGACAGTTCACTCAAGAGCACATATTTTGGCACACAGCTCCACTAGATCAGAGGTCAGCCTGAATTTTCTGACATATCCAGACTCAGCGTGCCTAGACTGAAAATACAGCACAAATAACCTTTTCGGCAGTACGTTAGCCATTGCAGATAAAGGCCAAGGCAGGGCTTCACAAGCACAGATGATTGCATATGAGCTCCAGATGCTGGGGTCTTGCTATGGGGACACAAAACAGTTCTGAGCCCACATGATCTGCCTTGTGATCCGAGACTACATGTTACTTCTCGCAGGCCATGTGTGAGAAGCCACGAGGGACAAATTGCACAGCCAGCTTGGTGGTAGAGATGTAGAATTGATTTGTATTCAGGGGGACTTTAAAAAGTGCCTGTATTCTGCAAGTGTCAGGAAAACCAACAACTAGACGCAACCTGTCCTTAGCTGCTTCACCAGATACTGCACTGTTTTACACAAAGGTGTTTGCAAGCCTGTTTTTTAGTCCTAACTAACTATGCTTTGATGGATGCCCAGTTTGTTACCTCTGGATCACTTAGGCATGGCACAAAATGGATAGATCGGATTACATTACCTTGGAAGCTTTTTAGCAATTCTGCTTTTTATATTTATAGAAATAATCATTGTGGAGAAAGCAAATTTTACTTAAGCTAAGTCTGTAGCCATGTAAATTTGTTGCCATTTAATAAACCTACAAAACTTACTTCCAACGTCTCATCTGAGAAAGCATTTGGCTTTTTTACAGAATCCACAGTATGTTTCAAAGCTTCTGACATATAAGCCACAGTGATATGTCTGTATGTGGTTTTGTTTCCCACAGGTGCATACATGTTTTAGAGGGAAAGCACCATAATGGGGAAATGTTAAAGTCTGTCCGAAGGATTACAGGGTAGGAAGAGTTCTGCTTTTCACAGTCATAGACTCACAGAACGGTTTGGGTTGGAAGGGACCTTAAAGACCATCTAGTTCCAACCCCCCTGCCATGGGCAGGGACACCTTCC